TGTCGGTGGCGTGGAAGCAGGCTTCGTTGAGGTTGTTGAGATGGACAATGTCGCCAAAGAGGTCGTCGGTGGTGCGCGAAGTCTCAGCTCTCGTCGCTTCATCGAGGTACGCGAGCCGACACGCGATACAAACCGACGAAGTGACGAGGCACAATAGCGAGACGAAGAGGCACACATGATAAAGGTGTTGGCCACCACTTTTTCTGCTCCCATGCACCGGAGCAGCGCTCATTTGGAAGGCCTTTTCAATCGCCATCGACAGGTTCGATCGGTCGTTCGGAATGGTATGTGTGAGCCGATGGGCGGCTAGGCCGCGGACACTCGACACTGCTAGCTTTATGGTGGAGACTGGATAGCTCTGCGACAGACCTAGCTTTCCACCCGTTTTATATCGGCATTAGTTCGTCTTGCCGAAATATTGGACCCCTCAAGTCAGAGTCCGGATGAGGCATAGTGACGGGTGGCAGCAGTGGCAGCCTGCAGGCGACGAAGATCAGGAACAAATGGCAAGGACATATGCTCTCGCAGGACACGATGGTCCAAAAGGGATCCGTCTTTGACGTGGGTCCACAAAAGACGAGACAACTAGACGACAACGACAATGAATTCTATTGGAACCGTCATGGCCGATTGTCAAACTCGGCGCGGACGTGGCGCATGGCGCGCTTAAAATCGCGCAACTGATCTTCGTACCGCCGCCGGCCATTCTCGCCGCGTTCTCGCCGCTCGGCCGGAGTCAGCGCCATGACCTGGTCGACCGCGTCGCAGATCGCGTCCGAGGTCACGTCCCACTCCATGCCGCCGTAGATGCTCAAGAGCTGGTTCCTACACAAGTAACAATCCATCTCAAGATCGCCAAACACGCAACACGTACGGGTTAGGGTCGAGACGGGACGCCTCAATGAGGACGCCAGAGGTTTCGTCGACAAACTCGTTCATGGGCGCGCCGTTTGTTGTCAAGACGAGTGCACCGGACGCTCTTGCTTGGTTGATGTAGTGGCCAAAGCCTTCCATTTTGCTCGGGCACAAGATCGCGCTCGTCTCGAGCAGCAAGCGGCCGAAATGCGCCACATCAATGTCCTCACCAAAGTGAAAGCGAATGTTGGTTGGCGCGCCATCGGTCCCAAACATCGCGTCGTAATCTTCCTTGACGCCACTGTACATGGAGTAAATGTCAATGGGCGGTAGGTCCGGTCGGCTCTGCCAGCACTGGAAGATGCCCTTTGTGTTCTTCTGGGCGCTGTGGCCGCTGGCGTGGAAGAATGTCATTTTCTCAAAGCTCCGGGGCTTGATGCGCGGCAGAGCCGGGTGCTTGGAATGGTGTGTGCGCGCGACGGTCGACGGATCTGACGACGTGTGCTGCACGTCAAAGACGGTCGTGTTTCGGGGATTCCCAACCTCGGCAAACCTACGTGCGTGAATCTCAAAACATGGCGTTGAGAGGGATGGCGCACCATTGCGTGAGCCGGTCGTAGGCATCGCGCGTCTTGCACAAGACAGCGTCAAAGCGCTGGTATTCCTTGGTTTTGAGCTCAAACATTTCGACATTGGGCATCAAAATGATCTTTTTTTCCTAAATTTGCATGAGCCCCGAGATACATGCATAGCAGTCGACGTACCTTGGGAAAATTGGGGCGGTCTGGAATGCCTTCGAGGTAGTGGTTCATAAAGATCATGGCCGTGTGCGGGCACAGGTCAAAGTAGCTAATGCTTTTGCGATCTATGCATGGCCATATCAGATATTTGGAGGTTGAGATTGGAGATTCGACCTTGGTAGTCGAATCGCAAGTCAAAGACCCAAATCGGCAGCGCGCGGGTTTTGAGAAACTTGACGTACGCCATGCCGTCTTCGCAGTAGCCGTGGTTGCGCAAACCTGGCGGCAAGAAGACGTCGACTTCCGGGCACTGCGCGAGAAACTGAATGAGCTGACTGCGCGGCGTGTCGTCGCGGGACCAGACAAAGTCGAGGTCGACTTCGGTGCTGTTGTACGTCCACGGAATCACCACGTCGCCAGCGTGGAAGCAGGCTTCGTTGAGGTTGTTGAGGTGGATGATGTCGCTGAGGACTTCATTGTCAAGCGTGTGGGCAAGGTGCGGGAGGTCGCGCCGGAGGCGGGCCGTGTCGGGCTGCTGCACGGCAAAGTGGTGCACCAACAGAAAGAGCGCGCACACGGCGAGGTATTGAAGGTACCGCCGGTGGCGCGCGCTGCGCGTCTCGGGGCGTCGATGCACCTTCTACGCAGCGGTGACCATGGTGCGGTGGGCATCGGCCGTCGTACCTCCGTGTCGGGACTGGACATGGTCAAAAACCAAATGGCGGCGATCCTTCCAACCCCGTTGGGATAGACAGTGTCGACGAGTTGCCGCCCAGCCAGTTTTATTGACCGGCCTCTAAAGTGCGCTTCCGCACCTAAGAAACGTGGCACAACGAGCGCATCTGGCGGGGTCCACCCAATCACCTGATCTCGATTGTCCGACGACGACGCCCGAAGAGCGGTGGCGGGGAGCTGGCCACCGCCTACTGCTCGCCTTCGTGACAGTCCTTTCCTGTCTGAGCGACTGCACAATGTATTTAAACAGGCGAAGAAATGGCGGCACGCGGACGTAGGACACGACTCTGGGACGGTGGCATGCACTCGCCTAGGTTCGCTCGTTGCGATCTTTTGTTGGATCCCACGACGTCGCTTCAAGACTTGAAGCAGCTCCGCATTCGATGCTGGTGCAGTCGACGCGATCATTTGTGTTACTTTGAGCGTCGGTGGATGCGCTAGAAGCCACATTGTCAGTCCCTTGTAATGGGCTGTGGTTTGCACGGAACGTAAGCTTAGTCTTCTGGTGTACTAGTAATAACAGTGTGGGTCTACTTCCGTCCGCGTTCGTATAGAATAATGTCATATAGCTTCTTCTTGTATTTGGCGCTAACAGTTGCAGCAAGGGTGTTGATGCCAGCAACGTAGCGGCGAGTCGATGGGTCCACGACCGGACGAGATTGCCGTTTGGGATGGGCATTTCCATTGGCTGAAATTACGCAAAAAGAGCCTCTTTTGAGCCAATCCGGTGCCTCTGCTTGTCAAGGATACAAACCAACCTGTGGCCAATACCATCGCGCGGCGTTGCCGGTGGACCAATGAAACGCCAGGATCCTTTCACTGAAATTACCGCCAACATCGTCTTGCCCACCGCCGTGGCGCCAAGCACGTCGCGCTACACGCCGCCGTCAACAGGCCGCGGGCAAAGGAAGCCAAGTGGCGACGAAGCCGCGTTGCCTTGCGCTCTGCGCCCGAGGCGGCAGCGCGCCGCTCGGCCACGTGCCAATTGCAGCGGCGATGAGCCCCCTGTGACATGTCAAATTACTCGCCGGTCGATCACAGGCCCAAGTCCGGTTTCCGCCACACCATGGCGGAGCACACGAAGGTGAACGACCCCGCCATCCTGACGCGTGTTCACCGCCTGCCGACTAGAGGACCTGGCTGCGTTTGCATCACTACTACTATGGCATCCTCCTCTGCGCGGCCGCGCTCGTGCTTCTCTTGCAGATGGTTGTGGGGGCGTCGCGCCTCCCAGCACCAGCGACGCGCATGAGGCGGCATGAATCGTCGAAAGAGCAAGCGCTGCTCGACCACATTGTGCACCTCAACAACCTCAACCACGCGTGCTTCAACGCCAAGGAGAGCGTGATCCCGTGGCAGTACAACAGCTCCGAGGTCGACCGGTCGGCCATGTGGCAGAGACCGACGTCCACGACGCCGGACGCGGCGCTTCTCGCGTACCTCGCGCAGTGCCCCGAGATAGACATTTACTTGCCAAAAGGGCTTCGCAACTACGGCTACTGCGAAGACGGCATGGCGTACGTCAAATTTCTCCACTCGCGCGCGCTGCCCGAGTGGGTCTTGGATCTCCGGTTCGAGTACCAAGGTACCGACATCGAAAAGGATCAAGAATCCCATGCTTGATGCATTAGGTCGCACCAACATGACGTACCTCCAACTGTGCCCGACGTCGGCCATTCTCTTTATGAACCACTACATCGAGGGCGTGCCGGACCGGTCCGATTTTCCGAAGGTAGGCTGCCTTGCGATTGTCTGTCAAATGCACAATTTGTCTAATATAGACCAAGAAGATTGTGCTCATGCCCAACGTCGAGATGTTTGAGCTCAAAGAAACGGAATACCACGGCGCCGACTATGTTTTGTGCAAAACCATTGACGCCTACGAACGCCTGACGCAGTGGTCCGCACCGGTCGCATCCACCGCGGTATTTCACATGCACCGTAGGTACGAAGACTTTGGTAACCCGCGCGGGACCCAAGTGCTCTACGTGCAGCACACGTCGTCGGACCCGTCCACGGTCGCTCGGCTCCATGCGGTCGCGCACCCCGAGCTGCCGCCGATCCAGCCAAAGGACTTTAGCAATATTACGTTCTTCCACGCCGGCGGGCACAGCGCACAAAAGAGCACGCGCAATGTGTTCGAGTGCTGGCGACAGCGCCCGCACCTCCCGCCCATTGACGTCTACTCGGTCAACCCCGATACGAAGGCGGACTTTGACGGTGTCTTTGGCGACGACGGCCCGCCTCCGAGCGTCCGATTTCACTACGGCGAAGACATTGAAGGCCCCGTGTTTGGTCGATTGCTCCTCGAGGCGAGCGTCATCTTGTGCCCGAGCAAGATGGAGGGCTACGGCCATTACATCAACCAAGCGAGGGCCTCGGGAGCGCTTGTCTTGACAACAAACGGTCCGCCCATGAACGAGTTTGTGGCGCCGGACGCTGGCGTGCTCATCAAGGCCCGCACGATGAAACCCAACCCGTATTTTCGTTTCGAGTGCTCGTTCTTGGTGATGATCGCTCGTGGTATCGTAGGAACCAGCTTTTGAGTATGTACGGCGCAATGGAATGGGACGTGCCGTCCGATTGGATCTGTGATGCGGTCGAGAAGGTGCTGGCGATGACGCCCGACGAGCGCGCACGCAGCGGGCGCAACGGCCGACGGCTCTACGAGAAGCAATTGCGCGAGTTTCAAGCCAACATGCGCAAGCTCCGGACGGCCTTTGTGCTCTAGCGACACGGGCAATAGTCCGTTTACGTAGATATGGACGTTAATAGCATTTGCATCTTACATGACGAGGCCCGGATCATGTCCCGTTGATCGCGTCAACGATGGCAACGGTCCATCACACGGCGCGTCAGAAGAACGACCCGCCAGTGTGCTTGCCTTTAGCGAGTAGAGATTTTTGGCAAGGACTCGCATCCGCCTTGTACTAGTACCGGTATGGACCGAGGTACACGTGCATTCAATGACGCTAAATCCCGCTGGCTGCATCGCGCTTCCGGTTGCTCCGCCGTCTACCGTGGTCGACCGCTTTGCATAGTCTCTTGGACGCAGGCTGGCCTTGGTCTTTGCTCACTCTACGTCCGTCACATGCAAGCAAGCATTGAAGAATCATAAAGGTTGGCAGCACTGGTTGATGATGCCTTTAGGTCTGGGAGAGTTAAGAGTTTGTGGCGAGCGACTTGAGAAAGGTGATGGCGCCCTTCTGGACGCCAATCGGTCGCTGCCCGTAATGATCGCCATCGAACGTCATGGGCGTGGCAGGGCCGCCGTACGCGTCATGCACGCGCGACGCCATAGTGGGGGGCACATACAAATCGTGGGATCCGCTGAAGAAGAGCGCAGGTACGTGGCACTTGCGACTTGCATTTTCCGGGTGCACCTAATGCGGCGCATAAGACTCGATGCCCTTTTCCAACTCTTGTACAGCGTCGACAGAGAAACCAGCGCGCGATTGGATGCTCTTGCGTGCGAGCGCCATTGTCATCCACAGCACAAATCCCGGAAGGTACAGTCCTTGGCTCTTGGCGTTTTCAAAGCAGCTCTGAATCATATCCGCGAGCGAGGTGTACGGGCTGTCGAGGACGAGGCCGGCCACAGTAGTGTCTCCTTCTGGCGCCATCGCGGTGAACTCGAGTGCTGTCGCCGCACCGAGGCTGTGGCCCCACAGAAAGACTTGCTTGTATGCTGGCTCCAACGCGCTTAATGTTGACAGCACAGCCTGCAGCTGCAACCGCTCTTCGAACCCGCCGGTGACAAATGGGCCCGTCGAGAGCCCGCAGCCGCCAAAGTCAAAGGCCGCAAAGGCGAATCCCGCACCGAGACATGCGTCACGTATGGGGATTGCATCGATCGACGACGCCATGTTGGAGTGCATGTAGACGACCAACGACCGGCCCTACAACGCCATTGTACACACGAGATGCGAGGGTTGAGTACCTCGTTGGCGGCGCGCCAGAGGTAGCCGCGCACGCTGTACGGCTCGTTGGTACTGACGCTGTTGCACACGACGTTGAAGTCGGTGCGCGTGATGCAGCTGTCGCCGAGCGTCCACGTCAACGGGCCGAGCTGGTCAAGGGTATACGTCTTGCGCGGCGGCTGGAGGAGCCACGAGATCATCTGGTTGTAGCCGCTCTGCACGGCCTGCGTGACGCTGAGGTCGCCACGGCCGCCGCGCTTGGTGAGCTCGGCCTCGAGCTCACCGTCGCCAAACACCTCGCACGATCCCGTCGCGCCCATGAAGAACGTGTCTGCACTGTCCGTTCCGGCGCTTGAAATAGTAAAACGGACGCAAGCTTGTGAAATTGCTCACTTTTGATTGGCCAGCACCGAAGATTGCCATGCGCAACCTGGCCTTTCTCAGGTCGAAACCCGCTCTTGGCTCTTGGCTCTTGGCGCTAAAAACACGGGTCCGATGCAGCAGTCGACGACTTGCCGCTGCTCGTCGAGAGCGCTGTGGCAAGTGCAAGTCTTTGCTCTCTGTGCGTCGATCAACTGCCGACCGTAGCCACCCCGCGAGGAGCCAACTCTACCCGTGTAATCGCTGGTTGACATGGTTGGCACGGTATTTTGCCGCTTCATCATGTACTAGCCACAACACGGTTGACGCTATTCGTTTGTGCAGTCATATTGTATATATGTATAGATTTGGCTCCTTAGTGAACATCTTCGACGTGCATGACCGGCTCAGCGGGCTGCAATTCGTTGACCGTCGGTGCGATTGTGTGGGGCTTTTTCATCGACCGGTCAAGTTTGGCGACGTCGGTCGTGGCACCCGGTGGTCCCATTGGTGTCGGCGCCGTTTTGGTTGGCGCAAGCCACGAAAAAAAATGCACCTGGCGCACCGAGTCGCGCGACGAGGTGCCGAGTGTTGTGACGCTGTTGCGCGAGCTTGCATGGGATCGCCGCGCCTTGCTCACAAGGCTCTCAAGCTTGCCCTTGAGGCGGCCCCAGCGCGTCGCCCGCGCGCGGGACCGCTTGCTCTTGTTGCTATTGTCTATATGACAAATCAAATGTGCGACCCTTGTCGACAACGATTACGTACTTTTCGCCACGTGGACAAAGAGCAAAATCTTGCGCTCGTCGTCCGAGATGGACTGCCGGCTCTTGGCATACGTATAGTAGTAGAGGGTCAAGAGCACTAAAATGGCGCTGATGCACGAGAGGAGGTACGCCGTGTTGCCTTGACAGCACACGATCGAGATCCAATTCATGCTCCACACGATCGCTGCGTAGTAGACTCCGGGCTTGCCGACCGGGCTTTTGAACTGCCGGGGTAAATGCTTGAACTCGCGCCTGAGGTAGAGGTACCCTGCACACTGCGCGAGGTAGGCCGAGAAGCCAAAGAACATGCAAATGTTGAAGAGCACTTCGCCTAACGTCGGGCTGTATGTGACGCAAAAGCAGAGGATGTAGCCAATGACCGAGCCGACGATCAAGGCGTTGGCTTGCGTGTGGTATGTTGGGTGGACGGCGCCGACCCAGACCGGCAGGAGCTTGGAGTTGGCGAGCGCCGAGAGGATGTTGGCATAGGCCAAGATAAAGCCAAAAATGGTCGCAAAGGTCGCGGGGATCGAGAACAAGGTCGCAACCTCATTCGAAATGCCAAACATCAAGGTGAACCCTATACGTGGATCAATAATCCGTCCTTGACGCTCGATTTCTACCGGGATTGAAGATGGCAACGACGCTGGGAAGGGCCGCAGCGCCTGGGGGCAAGCTCACAGCAACGAAAAAGACACTGATGCCCGTGAGACACAGAGCGAGGACGCACGGGATTTGGCCGCGCGGAATCACAATCTTGGGGTCGTGAATCGTATTGGCAAGCGTATTGAGCGACTCGACGCCAACAAAGAACCACGCGGCGAGCGGCATACTCGTGAAAAAGCTGGTGGCGCCGCCAACGGTGGCGCTACCTGCATACAAGTCGAAGCGAACAAACGAAAGCGACCCGACGCAGTAGAGCACTAAGACGCTGATGGAGAGGAACGCAAGGGCGCGCACGAGCAGCCAAAAGACTCGACCGCCGCGAATGTGAATGGCCACTGCTACGACGTAAATCGCGAGCCACACGAGCGGCAGATACGCATCCGAGAGGACTGGAAACACGATCTGGAGCATCTGCCCGAGCGTGAGCACGCTGCTGCTCACGTACGCAATGTACTCGAGGACTTCGCAACACCCAATGACAAAGCCCGAAAAGTACCCGAGGCAGCACCGGCTCAAACCGTACGCGCCGCCAGCAAAGGGCAGCGTCGATGTCATCTCGGCGATACTGAGCACGAGGCAAACGTACGCCGAGCCCATGAGTGCGAGTGCGAGGCCGTAGCTGGCGACGCCGGCAGTGAGCCCGGCGTTCCACGAAAAGTACTGACCGCCAATCACGATTGCGATCCCGAGCGACCAAATGTCCAAGGCCGAGGCGCGTAGAAGCGGCGGCGCGGTCATCGGTGGGCGAAACAGCACAGAAAAGGCGCACTGAACTATATATTTAGATGGCCACGTCCCTCCTGTCTACGACGTAACATCCTGCAAAGATACGATGACTGACGTGGTTGCACTGTGCGAAAAGGACACTCAATATATGTATCAGCGTCGCTGACGACTTAGTTGTATTCTTCGACAAGCAAGTTGTTCTCCTTGGGGGCCGAGAGCCTCGTGGACGCCGCTGGCTTGGCGGGACGAAAGCCTGGTATGTTGGTAGTGGGCATGTTTGCGGGCGGTCCATACGACGAGACTTGGCTTCGCGGCGTCAAGTGCACGACACGGTTGGGCTGGAGAAGCTGAAGGAACCGAAACGAAGCCCACCGTTGGCGCCACGGATGGATGGTTGTATTCACCGAGTTGCCCGTGGTCGAGACGCTCCGAGAGTGAGTTCGCAAGCTCCAAATGTGCCAGAACCACTCGAGCACACGCAGGACGGCTAGGGCCCAGCGCGGAAGTGTCTTTTGACGTGCCTTCTTCTTACGCTTGCGCTGGTTACCTACATTCAAGGAGCTCAGCCTGCACCGATCCATACGCGACAGAACCTACTTTTTGACACGTGGGCAAAGAAGAGAATTTTGCGCTCGTCGTCTGAGAAGGTTTGGCGGTGTTTGGCGTAGCCGAGGTAATAGACAATGAGTACCGTAACAATCGAGCTTACGACCGAAAGAAGGAACGCGGCGTTCTCCTGACAGCCCACGATCGAGATCCAATTCAAGATCCACACGATGGCCGCGTAGTAAACCCCGGGTTTGCCAACGGGACTCGTAAAGCTTCTCGGCAAGTGACCGAACTCGCGCTTGAGGTAGAGATACCCGGCACACTGCGCCATGTAGCAGGAAAAGCCAAAGAACATGCAAATGTTGAAGAGCTCTTTGCCCAAAGTCGGGCTGTAAGTGACGCAAAAGCAGAGGATGTAGCCCATGACCGAGCCAATTATGAGCGCGTTCGTTTGCGTGTGGAACTTTGGGTGGATGGCGCCGATCCAGAGTGGCAGCAGTCGCGAGTTTGCCAGCGCCGAGAGAATGTTGGCATATGCCAAGATAAAGCCAAAGATGGTCGCAAATGTTGCTGGGATTGAGAGAATCATCGCAATGTCTGCGGTCATGCCAAACATCTGGATGAACCCTACCCCTCGTTACTTTGATTTGCTCCACTTTGATTCATAGTACCTGGGTTGAAGACAGCGAGGACATTCGAGAGGAGGATCGCTCCCGGTGGCAAGCTCACGGCCACAAAAAAGACGGCAAAACCGCTGACAAACAGTGTGAGCACACACGGGATCTGGCCTCGCGGGATCACTTCCTTCGGGTTCTCGACCGTGCTGCACAGCGTGTTGAGGGATTCAATGCCGACGAAAAACCACGCCGCCAGCGGCATGTTGGTGAAGAACTCGCCAAACCCACCGACGACGAGATTGTCGACGCCGCCGCCGTACTCGGCGTAGCTCACAGCCGGCAGCGACCCCAAAAGGTAAATGACAACAATTAAGGTCGAGAGGACCGCAAGCACGCGGGTAAAATTCCAAAAGAACCGTCCGCCGATGACGTGAACCACGATCGCGAGGACGTAGATCGCGAGCCATACGAGCGGTAAATGGTCGGTTGAGATTACGGGAAAAATGACCTGCAGCATCTGCCCGAGCGTGAGCACGCTGCTGCTCACGTACGCAATGTACTCGAGCGCTTCGCAGCAGCCAATGACAAAGCCGCAAAAGTACCCGACGCAGCATCGACTGAGGCCGTACGCGCCACCCGCGAACGGCAGCGTCGCTGTCATCTCGGCCATGCTGAGGATGAGGCAGACGTACGCCGTACCCATGAAGAAGAGCGCGAGGGCGTTGCTCAAGACGCCGGCCGTGAGCCCGACGTTCCAGCAAAAGTACTGGCCACCGATCACGATCACGATGCCGAGCGACCAAATGTCGAAGGCGGACGCGGAAAAGAGCTTGACGTGGATGGTCGGCGCCAATAATCGGGGCACCGTCGACGCCGACGACGACACTGCAATCTTGGACGTGCTGGGCGCGGCCGACATGGTGCCAACGTGTGCCTTTTTATTAGTCACTCGGCTATGGAGACGGGGAGCTATTTCAAGCGCTTG